AAGCCGCGCCGCGAACGCTGGGTAAGGTCGACCCTCGCCTCTTTTTTCACCGCCTCGCGCGCGCGCACCCCACCACTATAAAGCTCTCCCACTCTCGGAGAGTTCAACGGAAGCAGCCCGGCTCAATTGCGGCGCCTATTGATTACGTCATGGATCGGGGAAGTTACTAGAAAAGAGGAACTGACTTGGCCGGCGCATGAGAAACCGAATTGGGTAGATATACGCATGCGCAGGATGGGGCTAAAAGAGTCAGGACGCGTGCGCATTGGGTCTTCATTCTTATTGCGCAAACGCAGTTGATCTGAAAGGCCCAAGTTGGGATTGTTAGGTGAGCAGCTGCTTTGACGCCGTGAGGAAGTACTTGCGCCGCTGCTGACGTATTTTTTGACGACTCATGCATGGTTGTGGCGCAGTTTTCCGGCTCTCGTGTTTGTTTTGTGGATCGCATTGCATTTTGAAAGCTAATGTGGTGTTTCTTTAATAACCTCTCCCAATGCTTCTGGGGGAGGAATTGTATTTAAGTTTCTTAAATCATTGGTCAGAATTATTTAAGAGCGGCCTTTAAACTTTGACTTCTTTGGTTGAATATATATAGGCTTAGATCCGCAGGAAAATATCCGAAGGTATAACTCGCTGAAATCGGAGTCCACAATGAATTTTAAAGCCAGCAAGAGAAGCGTAAATCTGTCCCGCGTTGCGTCACAAGCCACTTTTTACGGACGCTCCAAATGCAGGGATTCTACTCGTCTGCCCGCGTGTGCGGTGGCAAAATCTTGCTATGGGATCGGATAGGATAGAGAAGGGCCGGGGGAGGAGATCATATTGAATTGAGGATACTGGCATGGCTCATTCAACCTGGAGCGTTGATTCATTTTAAACGGTCTTCTGCTTCCTCTTAGTTTGCATCCCACAATGGCAGGAAAGATCTGGTATTGAGTTTTGGCAGTTCAACTCGAAGTACGTGAGAGCTATTTAAAAGAGGCAAGTTGGGGGCCAGACATCCCTTGGGTTGCCTGCTTCTTAGCCATTAGCAACATAGAGAACCACAATCACGCACACTGAGTAAACTCTGCAAATCTTCAAAGAAGCACTTTACCTGGACAAAGATTGGACTGATGTGCCCTGTCACAGCATTTCTGTGAAGTGCTGTGACATCTGTTCTAATTGATGGAGTGGTTGTGGCATTTCATTTATCAAAGTATTTCAGCTAGCTGACATTTAATGTACTTGGGAATCAGTATTAAAGGTGGCACAATGCAGCCAGAATCAGAGAACCTCACATTGTTTGTAAAGACTAAATGTATATTTCACTGGAAAAGGAAAAGAACAACTCCGCTTCATTTCCTGTGAGATTATGAGAACGATAGCAGTATGATCGTTGTCTGTCTAGTTCTTTCCTGAACTCTGCCCAGAGAGCAGGCAGCCTGCTTAGCAAAAATTATGTACTCTTTTACCTGCTAATGATGTCACTGTAACCAAAAAAATGACATCTAGTGAAGAATGAAAACTTGTTTCCTTATTCTAAGAGAGCTGCATTTCTTATTGCAACTATAAACAATGTTATTCAAATGGTTTATAAACTACATTTTAAAGCTGAAGTAGAGAAGTTAAATGTGTAACTCTTACATAAAATAACCTTTTTTAAAAAAATCGATGTCTTAAAGGATTTTTAATGGTGTTTTTTCTTTTGTACCAATAAAAGGTCAACTATTACATAATTGAATGGTGAAAGGATGAGGAAAATTATATAGAATCTTGTTTACATTAAGATCTGAAAAATATATGTGTTATGCTAAAGAGTTTATCATTTTGCCTTCAAAGCTGATTGACCAGAATTCTTTTTGCAAACCTCACGTTCTGAGACTTTGGGGAGGGGCTATTTCACAGTATCACTACATTCCTTTCTTCCTTTTATCTTCCCTCTTAGACTAGCCAAACATTTACTATTTGTGAATGACCATCTGTAAAAAAAAAAAAAAAAATCACAAAAAAGATAAAAATAATGAAAGTATCAAAAGGTAAAAACTATCATGAAAGGAGAGCCATTAACTATCGTTTATTTATCAATGAAATTACACACTAGTCATAAAAATGACAAATTTTATTGACTGATGAAAAACTAGATGCAGCGTTAGCACAAAGTTAGAGCATCAATGTTTTCATTTCCAACTTTAAACCAGAATAGCAATAGATTGACTTAACTGTTAGTCAATTAAATTTCAATCACTACTCCCACCCCAAAAAACCTGCATAGTTAAGCAGTAATACAAATATACATTTCTGCAAAACCCTGAAGATCAATATTCCTCTTTTTGGCTCTGAATTTAGTGCAAAGAAAATCATCTGCACTGGTCAGATTCTGAGTTTCTTTTCCCTTTTCTTCCACCCTGAAAAAATAGAAATGAAACAACAAATACTGAGTTATCAAAAACAAATCAGCAAGCAATCTGATATGTTCCTCAAAAGGTCTGTAGAGCACCAACAGGTACTGCTATTCTCACAAAAGCACACTAGGAAAGAGGGAATGCTCCTCTTTAAAAAACACCTTTTTCGCCTTCTGCTGAGCTTTGTGAGAAAAAAAAAGTGAGGTCCTTTTGGACCCTGCTTTTAGCAAGAACTTTAGGCAGGGAATGAGTGTATGGTCTGAAAGCTAAACTTTTTAGGAAGCACAAAAATGCTTAATGGAGTAAATTACTGACTCTGAAATTAAATAACCTAGGGGACTTTGAGTAATATACTATGGAACAGGCTTATACTATTACTAAATCATTGGGTGGTCAATGCTCTTCTATCTTCCAGTAGGAAGATAGCAATGAAGGGAAAGATGGTGGTTTTTACACATTCTCACTCTTCCCTTCAAATCTGCTTTGAAATACATATGTGGAGCAAATTTGAGGGAATGGGAGTGAACACAGAGAAGAGAACAGAACTCTGACCTGATCGATGCCTTCTGTCAACAAAAGGGATGAAAACTAGATACTACCTCTTAAACTACATTGTTATGTAACTATGAAAAAGAGAACGGAGATGTTTATATAACATAAGAAATAAACTTACTATTTAATGTTACAATGCATTAATTCCAGAATAAGCCACACAAAACGGAACTTTTACATTCTGTATGAGAATACAGAATTGTGGTACTGGTGCACTTAAACAAAAAATTGATAGACAATTCTAAGAATGCAATAGTTAACTAATATTATAGGCCAAAGATTGTGCACACCATTAAACAGTAAGAAAACCAAAAGGGAGGGAGGGATCAATATAAGAAATAAGAAAAGTTAGAAAAGTAATTAAAAATGCAAGTTTAGGAGAAAACAACAGATGAGCTAAACGTATCGAAGTACGTGCTAAACAGTATATAGTGCAGTGGATCTAGAGAAAGTAATTTTCAAGTGTGAACATTAGAAAAAGAGCAACTCAACAGTGGAACCAATCACCGAAAAAAGTAGTGTGCTTCTGTTTGCTTAATGTGTTTCAGTGAAGGACAGAGAGTCACCTTTTGGGAATACTTCAATTTTGATACCTTTTATTTGGAGAGTCAGTGTGGTAAGGTGGTTAACATGTTGGACTAGGACTGGGGAGTTTCTACTTCAAATTTTCCCCCAGTCATGGAATTTACTGGCTGACTATGGACCAGTCACTCTTTATCAGTCCAAGCAATCTTGCAAGGTTGTTGAGGGAAAAAGTTGGAGGAGGGAGTGCTGCCTTGAGCTCCTGGAGGAAAGGAGGGATATAAAGCTAATAAATTCCTTCACAGAGCAGGGGGCTGGAATCAATAGCCTAAACTGTTCTTTCCAACTCTATGATTCTATATGACAATGTGCTTTTATAACAACACAGAAAATGCAAGATTCTTTTTGGATCAACAACAGTCTAGATCCAAATAAAGTTCAAGGTACAGGTAGTCCTCAAGTTACGACCATTCATAGTTATGGCAGCGCTGAACGAATGGTACTTACACCCAGTCCCCAAAGTTACAGCTGTTGCAGTGCCTCCAGTCACATGATCAATATTCAGTCGTTTGGCAGCCTGCCTGTACTTATGACCACAGGGGCACTTAACTCCCTTTATCCTCCTATCTCCCTCCCATCTCTGCCCTTTTGGCCTCCTTGCACAGTGGCAGTCCTTGCCGGTGGCGGCGCTGGGGCTGAAGTAGAGGCCTGGGGCCTTCAGCAGCCTCAGCCAGCCGCCACCGCCCCTCTACTTCAGCCCCAGCACCACCAAGGACTGCTGCCTCAAGTCCCGTGCCGCGGACAGCCACCCCAGCACCATAGCCCCAGCCACCCCCACCACTCTGTGCTCCACTCACCTTGCTGGCCCTGCTTCCCTGCACTCTGCTCACCCTGCTGGCCTTGCTGCCCTCCCGGCCTTGCTGGCCCTGTGCTTGCTGGCTCTGCTGCCCCAGGCTGACCTTTGTTGTCTTCCTCCCGCTGCTGACGAGGTGTGCCTGGCCTGGCCCTATGTGAGGCAGCTGCTGGCTGCACCAGGCCGTCTTCCTGAGGCTTCTCGTGTCATTCTCCAAATAGTATGCCCTGTTCTTGCAATGCTTTGGCAGGCTTCTGTGGCCTTCTAAAACCTCGCAAGAAGGCCACGCCCGCTGTTCTCCAAATAGCGTAGGCTGAGCACAGGGCAGTAGGACCAGTAAGCGCAGGACAGCAAGGCTGGCAGGCTGGGAGGGTGAGCAGAGCGCAGGGTGGCAAGGCCAGCAGGGTGGTTAGGCGAGTGGAATGCATGATGGCAAGGTCAGCAGGGCCAGCAGGGTAGCAGGGTCAGTGGAGCACAGGCCTGCAGGGCTGGCAAGTGCAAGGTGGGCAGGCAGCAGCCCGGCAGGATGAGTGGAGGGCAGGGCGGCCAGGCCAGCAGGGCCAGCAGAGCACAGGGCGGCAAGGCCAGCAGGACTAGTGAGCACAGAGTGGGGAGGGTGGCAGGGTGAGTGGAGCACAGGGTGGCAAGGCCAGCAGAGCATGGGACAGCAGGTCTGGCAGGGTGGCAGGGCGGCAAGGCCAGCAGAGACTGCAGAGTGCAAGGTGGCCAAAAGGGCAGAGATGTGGGGGGAGATAGGCAGGTGGGGGGAGTTGAAGAGGAGGCAGTCCCTTACTTTACCAAGGTGTGGGGCTGGGAGGGACCAAGCTGGGAATGGCTTGGATCAGGATGGCTCCTCGCCTAACAACCAATGGGATTTATTAACAATGGCAACAGGGATGCCGGAATTGCTGTCCCTAAGCAATGTGGCCACATGATGTCGCGCTTTACGACTGCATTGCTTAGTGAAAGAAATTGCAGTCCCAATTACTCAAGGACTACCTGCATGAAAATTTTTGTCCCTGTTTAGGATATTCTATTTGCGTCATAATAGCTCCCATATTCTATTCCATGTAGTTCAGCAATTTCCAATACATCAGAGTGGCATTTCAGTAGAGTAAGCAGTAAGTAAGTTCAGTAGAGCAACTGTGAGGAGGAATAGAAAATTGCCCTTTTAATAACTTATGTTATTATTTAGCTTTATTACATAGTTAAATATTACCTGGTATTTTGTTAATTCTGCTTGCAGTATTTTCACTTTAGATCTTTCTTGTTCCAATGCAGCATGAAGAGTAGCAACCTCAAAGAAAGAAATCCCAATAGTTACTTTGCTCTAAAACAAATTTTACATTTTTAATCAAAGTTACATTTTAAACAGGATGAGATTATACATCCTATTACAGTAATAATGAAAAATATAATTTGCTTATGTTATTTTACAATTTTAGCTTAGAGAGTGGTGTGTTATAATGGTTCAGGTACTGAACTAGGAATGGGAAGACAGGTTGTAGTCCTTCCTTAGGCACAGAAACCAGCTGGGTGACCTTGGGCCAGTCTCTCCCTCTTAAGCCTAAATCAGAGTAAGGCTGTGCAACAAGCTAGCTGAAAAGCAAAACCTCTTGTTGCATTGTGCATTGATAGCTTTGCAGTGTGACCTAAGTGAGCACAGTGCAAAACAGTGGAAAACTAGCAGATCCTGTAACCAACTGTGACAAACACTAGGAAAAACAATAATATTTTATGTTGTTAAACATTAGACTTAATTCCTGGTTGATGACTGTTCAAGAAAATGATTTGATAATTTTGACCATCTATGACAGCAGTTAAAACAATATTTTGAAAATTCCTTGGAATCATGTAAAGAAACTCCTGCAAATAATTTTTATCTCAGTATTTTTCTGCAAGGATTCAATAGGCATATCCTTTTATAGAAAACTGAAACAATTTCTACAACCTCATACTCACAGAGAGTCAGTTTGGTGTAGTAGTTAAGGTGCTGGCCTAGATACCAGGAGACTGTGAGTTCTAGGCTTCCTTTAGGCATGAAAGCTGGCTGGGTGACTTTGGGCCAGTCACTCTCTCTCAGACCAACCCACCTTGCAGAGTTGTTGTTGTGGGGAAAACAGGAGGCTAGAGCATTAGGTACGTTTGCCACCTTGAGTTATATACTGTATACAAAAAAGGTGGGATAAAAAAGTCCATCCATCCACCCATCTATCCACACACACTCAAATACTAGAAAAGAAACTGGATTTTGAAAAAAATAAAACAAAGAGCAGGTGGCAGCCATGGCTAGGAGGGCCTTTGCACACCTCCAGGTAGTGCGCCAGTTGCGTCCATTCCTGCATTGGGAGGCTCTGCTCATAGTCACCCACGCCCTCGTAATCTCCCACTTGAACTACTGCAATGTGCTCTACATGGGGTGGCCCTAGAAGAGCATTCGGAAGCTTCAGCTGGTACAAAATGCGGCTGCATGGGTAGTAAATGGTGTCAGATATGCGACACATATAACACCACTACTGTGTGAGCTGCACTGGTTGCCAGTGTGTTTCCGGGTGCAATTCAAGGTGCTGGTGGTCACCTTTTAAAGCCCTGCACGGCTTGGGACCAAGTTACCTGAGAGACTGTCTTTTCCCAATAGTGTCTACCCATCCATTTTGATCCAGCAGGTTGGGCATACTGAGGAATGTCAGCTGGCTGGGACCAGGAGACGTGCCTTCTCTGCTGTAGCCCCTGCCCTTTAGAACGTCCTCTCTTCAGAGATTAGGATGGCCCTGACCCTGTTGGCCTTTTGTAAGGCTTTAAAGACCTGGCTATGTGCCTGGGCCTCTGAATGTGTTAAGAGCATTGTCTCTTTGCTATATTAAAAATTATGATAATTTTCTCGGTTGATGTATGTATTTATTTTTGTATTGTTTTTAACTGCTTTTATTGTTTTAGAATTGTTCGCTGCCCAAAGTCACTTGGCTGAGATGGGCAGCTATAGAAAATTAATTAATTAATTAAAACATTTTAAAAATCTAGCTTTGTCTATAAACAGAAACTTCCAGATTTTCCTAAATGTTTGTTCAGAAATACTTTATACTCTTATGTGTGCATGTGTATAAATAACAATAATGTAAAACAATTTCTTAACTGCAAAAAAATACAAAATAATTATAGCAGAAAAAAAGAGAATTTATTCATGAATGATGAATGTTCAGCCAAAATAGAATAGGATTTAGAAAATACAATATGTTACAAATTAGCTACATATATAGCTAGTCAAACAAGGGATGTATATTGAGAATGTCATCTCTCATGCCTGCTTTTTAGTTTTGTGATTTATCAATTTTGTTGTGAACTGTTTTTATTGATTGTTGAGGCTGGATTTATGTGAGTTGCTCAGAGGAATACACATTTTAATAAACAAATAAAGAAATAACACATATCTAACTCCTCAGATGTTTCTCCAAGCAGCTTCCAGGTTATCCGGTGGTGTCCAAGGTTCCAAGGGTACCACCAGAGCTGGTAAGTACAATACCCTGGCTCCCACGCTCCAAAAGATGGTCCCAAACAATCCCAAATAACCTCAGCCTTTCCATGCACTCCAGAAAACCAAAACAAACAGCAAATCACAAACATTCCATGAGCCCCTCAAACCACACACCTATTTCTGGTAACCACATTCCAATATCCCAAAATGGTACTGATAAGATCTAGTTTTAAATATCATGAATATCAAACTGAAAACTATTTGCTTTGATAAACTTTTAAGTGAGATTCAATACCAAGTGACCATGATATACTTCCTGCTTGCCTAAGGCTCAAAGGTATTATTTTACAATAGTTCCTATTTTTTCTGACAGGCAGGCCTAAAAGGCGGTGCTATACAGTAATACCTCGGTTCACGAATGCTTCTGTTCACGAACAATTCGGTTCACAAACAGCACCGTTCGCAAAATTTTGCTTCCGTTCGTGAACTCCGCATCAGGTGACGAACACGACCCGTGGCCATTTTCCCTGCTGTGACACGTGGTTGTGGCTTCCTGTAGGCGACGGGGACTCTCCCTCCAAACAACAACCACCTCCCCACCTGCCTTCCTGTCTTCCACGCCAGAAGTCGCCTCAAGCAAGGTTAGCGTTCTCTCTCTCTCCATACTTTACTGTACCATACTTTGTTTCATATTTTTGTGGTTTAAA